TCGTCCTCCTCCCTCCCCCGCCACCCCCCTCCCCCGTCTCTGTTCGGAGATGCTCTTCTCTTGGCCGACACGGTGGGTTGGACACAGAATGGCGTCCGTTTTTCCTCCCTGTGCCTGGGGGAGCACCTGTCGCAGGTCGGAGGTCTGTCTCTTCGTCCTTCTCCTCCTCCTTCGCCGTCGCTTGTGCCATGTTTAGAAAGGCCCGCCCACCAGAGTGGCACGCGTTTCCATGTCTCCACGTTCATGACTTTTCACATGGACGCACCTGCTCCATCCGCTGTTCATTCCAGTGCATGACACGGAGGGGGAACCCTATTTGCTTTTCTCGACGACCACGTGAGTCGTCCCCAGCATCGCCTACGGATCTGCCTGCGGGGCAGGGTCTCAGAGTTTGCCGGGCGGGGTGAGCAGTGTGAGCCAGGTTGGTGGAGACTCAGATATCCTGCCACCTCTGAAGTGGGGGGCGGGGGGGGCTCAGCAAGGGAACAGGGGCCTCGGCCAGCACTTCTGTCTGGGAGAAAGCTGCTCCCCCCACCCCCAGCCCTCACCCTGATCCAGATCATTCAGTTCCTCCTCCTATGTTCCTGGCACATTTGAGCTACTATCATCGCACTGGAGCTCAGAGGGACTGAGTCTGAGTAAGTCGACGCGCTGGCCCTTTAAAAGGAACTGCCTGGGACTCCAGCAGCCTCTGTCTCCCTTAGCCTCAATCCTGCTGGTTTTTACAGCCCAAGTTATAAGGGCTTCTTTTCTCAGCTTTGGAACCCTGGGCTGAGGGGCCAGGTGTGGGGCTGGGGCCCCTCGTTCCTCAGGGGGGACCTCCACCTCCGAGATGGCCCTCTGGGTTTCTATCTGCCCAGGTGGGTGTGGGACCCTCCCCTCCTGAGCCGCTGCCCCTCCTGCCAGGCTCGCCGTGCTGCTGCCTTATACCCTGAGAGGCAGGGCGTCGTTCTCCTAGATGTTAGGCGGTTCTGACTGCTGGTGGGTCTGTGGTTGTCATGTTGATGTGGTTGTGGGAGTGTTGTAGGCGGTGGGAACCCATAGGGTCAGCCCGGACCTGGGTTCAGGAACCTCCCTGCACTTGACTTCTGGCGAGGAAAGAATTCAGAGCCAAGACTCAAACAGTAAGAGAACATTTATTTATCACGGAGGTAGAAGCCATTCCTAGAAGCAATGGGCTTAGGAGACAAGTTCTAGAGGTAGAGGAAGGGCCCTCGGAGCTCGGGAGGAGGAAGGTAAAGGTAATGGGCCTGGGGGGAGGGGGCGGGAGGAAGGGAAAGGCGTGGACATGCTCCCAGGACGGGGAGCGCACTGGGTCCTCGTCCTGAGGGCTTTAAGGGGAGGTGTTAGGGAGGCCCCAGGGGAAGATCTCAATAGAACATTCCGCAGCTTTCCATGGCCTTTCTGGGTCGGGGTCCCAGCTGATTGATTGGCGGCACCAGGGCAGTGGTCATTATTCCAGGCAGCTGGTCCTGATGTCAGCAGTGGCTGGTTTTATTGCTTTTCTGGGTCTGGAGCTGAAATACAGCGGAGGCCTAGAGTTATCTCTGGGAGGAAAGGTCAGGGGTCCAGGATGTGCGAGGGGAGGAAGGCCACCCTGGGGACCGGGTCCCACCTACAAGTGTCCGTTGCTGGGCTCCCAGGGCTTGTCCTCCTGGTGACCTTCTGGACCTGCCCATGGTCCCTGCTCTGCTCAGGACTGCCTGCCCCCCCCCCCACAGCGGTAAGGACTGGCCGTGACCCCGATGCAGGAGCCGCCGGGCAGGAGTGTCTGTCCGGGGCTCCGCTGCCTGCTGCGGG